GATTGGTAGTCGTTGGAAGGCTGGGTTGAGAAGGATCCGGAGAGAGAGTGCTGGATTGACTGGCAGTGTCTGTCCTGGGTGTAGTGGGGGAAGATGGTGGCATGTTTGCTGTGTATTTGCTACCCCTTCTCTTTAGGGAATGAGGAATCACTGAAGTTTTTGAACAGGGCATGGCATGGCCAGAGTTGTGCTTAGTTGGATAAATCAGCTGTCCAGACTGGAAGCAAGTAGGAGACTTCTATAAGATAGGCCAGGGAGAGGTAGCAGCCTCTTTAGGACCTCAGCCAGAAGAGCTTAAACAGTCTTGCTTCCCCTTTTTTCTCCCTGCGCTCCCTTCCAGCCCTGACCCTGGGAATTGGAACCAGGAGGCTCTGCTGTGGGCTGCCAATGACCATTGTCACTGTACAGCCATCCTGGCAGCTCCTTTTCCTGCTGTGTGTCTAGGAAGACTCCCGGCCTTTCCTTTGGGAAGCCTACACCCTGTCTGGAATCCACCTTCCCCACCACCAAGCCTGTCCAGGCTTAGCCTTGACTTGGAGAAGGAGTGTGGGTGAAGTGATCTGTGGCTATTCCCAGCACTGCCTCAGCTACCCTGAGGGTGCAATTTTGGGTCAGAAGGGAGGCCTAGTTGGCAGGAGGCATTAATGGGAGCACAACCCTGGAGGAGGGAGATGGCATATTTGAGCTCTTTTCACTGGCTCCTGCCTTCTTTTAGTTGAAGATAATATTCTGCATTCTTTTAGCCACCATCCAGATGAGGACCATCCTAGGCCTCCAGTTTCACAAATGGGGGAAGACTAAGGCATGGAGTAAGCAGGGACCTGGCTTTGAGATAACCAGCCAGGGTGAGCCTCTTTCTGTGGTAGTTCTTGTTATATACACACAATGAGGTGGGTCAGGGTAGTCGGTGAAAAATGACCTCAGGCACTGTTCACATCACATTACCTATATGAGCATGTTGTATCCTTGCCACCCCCCAAAAGTAGGTAGAGCTGACAGCTGCATTCCATCCAGGGGAAGCAGGCACAGGGAGGTGAAATGGATTTCCAGGGTCACCGGCTTCATAGCGGCAGAGCCAGGATTCAGACCAGGCAGTCTTACTCCAGGGTGTGAGCTCAGAACCATTACACTAAACTGTCTACCTTGCAAAGTACCTGGGGTGCCCTCCATGCAGGACCCTGGTGCTCCCCCTGCTTCTGTCAGAGAAGGCTCTGGATTGCCTGACAAAGGATCCCCAGGCCCCTGAGGAGCATGGATCCTGGCAGCATGGAGACAGCATCCTTAACTCTGTGCCCTCTGTGTAGAGTTGGGTGGTTGGGCTTCTTGGGTTTTTCTAGAGCCCAGAGGACCCTTCCAGAAAATGAGGAGGGTTGTCCTGACTGTCCTGCAAGCTTGCTCGTGGCCCATGTCCTCTCCTTTCTGACTCTGTGGGGAGGTTAGAGGTGGGGTTAATGGGAGTAGAAGAGAAGGTAGGGAAGAGTGGGGGCCAAGGACACATGATTAGGCAGCTTCCACGCTTGGCCATGTGCTCCGGCTGTGGGTTGTGCCCACCACCTGTGCTATGTGGACCCAATGCAGCCCCCTCTTCCAAGAGCTCACATTCTGAGTGGGAGAATCCAGAATGGATCTCAGGGCCCTGGGGCAGTAACTGCTGTGCATGGGAGCATGGTGGTCAAGCAAGGCCTTCCCAGAGTGTTAGGTGAGCACAAGGCGGGCAGCACTGGGCCCCAGCTAGAGTGTAGAGGCTCTAGCCTCGGTTTGAGAGCTGTGTCCAAAGCACATCTCAGCTTCTCTGGGCCTCTGTTTCTCCATCTGAAAAATGAGCAGTTCATTCTTGAGGGCTGGCAAGGGCTGTGTCTCTGAGGATGGAGGGGGTCAGTCGCCAGTAAAAGGAGGCTGTGTGCCTGCCTCCGCCAGCCCTGTGCCTGAGCTGGCCCTCTGAAGGCCAGAGGCTTGGGCAGCATGATGACAGTGAAATCAGATACGGGGGCATGTCAGTGGCCAGGGCACCTTGTCAGGCATCTCATCTCCCTCCTCCTGTCTGGGGAGGGTAGAGGCACTGGGGAAATACAAATCTGTGATGGGGGGAAAAGAAATGCTCCTGTTTGCAAACCAAGAGACTTTTGGTCAACCACGGGGTCCTCACAGGCAGCTTGGCATCCGCAGGCATCTGGATCCTCATCTCCTGGGCCCTGGCCTGGCCAGTCCCCCCCCAGTCATCAGCTGGTGTGTGACTGGCCACATGCAATGTGAAGGCAGTGAAACAGTGCCACCTCTCCTGAAGCCTTTCTTTCTGCCTGGCAGCTTTCTGCTTCCGGCCCCAGGCCTTGTACGGGCATGCTCGGGAGTTGATCACAGCCCCCTTGGAGTAAGAGGAGGACTTTGATGTTCCCAGCCCAACCTCCCACTGAAATTCCTGCTGTTATTGATAGAATGGCAGCAGTAACTCACAGACTCATGGGCTGCCAGGACAAATCGTTCCGACTAGAAGTGGCATCTGGGTGCAGGAGGGATTGAGTTGTGAGGCTGTGCTCTGTCGGATTCATACGTTGGGGTCTAGAGCAAGACTGAGAAGCTGAGACCCCTACCCCAGAACATGTGAGACCAGCAGAGGCCACCTCTGTCCTTGGGACAGGGGGAGAGGGGACTCATGGACACTGATGGCCATTAACACCAGTGTGCAAATTGAAAATGCTGGGCACTTTGGTTGTTTTCATGTCTTGGTCACTGAGTAATGCTGCAGTGAACATAGGGGTGCATATATCTTTGAAAATACATGTTTTGAGATGTTCAGTGTCTTGTGATAGAGGACTGGATAGAGAAGATGTGCTGCATGCACACATTGGAATATACTCAGACATAAGAAAGGATGAAACACTGCCATTTGCAACAACATGGACGGACCTTGAAGATATTATGCCAAGTGAAATAAGTCAGCCAGAAAAAGCTGAGAACCATGTGATTTCACTCATGTAGGATATAAAACTGAAACTCGTGGACACAAGTGGCAGTGTGGTTGCTGGAGGGAAGGAGGTGGGAGTGAAAGGGGTCCTCATATATAGTGACAGGAGAAGATGTGACTTTGAGTGGTGGGCACACAGAACAATATACAGATCTTGTAACAGAAACCACACCTGAAACCTATATGTTCATATTAACCATTGTCACCCCAGTAAATTTAATAAAGTGTTAAAAAATGCAAAAAAAAAAGAAAATGCTGGGCAGAGCTGAGCTGAGGGCATGAAAGGCGGAGAGTACCCCAGACTGTCTGCTCACTCCAGCCTGCTGTTCCCTTTTGGGCCCTGACATTTCTCCCAGGCACATACCAGCACATGACAATGAATCTGAGCCCCTCCAGCCCCCACACTCGGGATACGGCTGTCCTGGCTCATCTGTCAGTCACCCGATCCCCCACACCTGTCCCAGGCACAGCCTGCGAGCTGCCCACCCGCACCGCAGCTATGAATAGGGTGGTGGATGGGGAACAAGGGGGCATTCTGAGGGCAGGAGGGCGAGTGGTGGGGGCACCTGTCGGGGTAATGTAGGGGGGCAGCTTTCCTCTTAGGCTGAGAAAGTAGAGAAGCAAGCTTGTTTGGGGGAGGTGCTTAGAGTAGGGGCACAGGGGCGGAAATGAAAAGGGTGGAGTTATAATTGGAAGGATGGGACACTGAGGACGAGACAAGGCACTCTGGGTACATTGTTTGCATCCTTGGCCAGCATCTCCTGGGTCTGTGGGGCATCACCACAGGGCAGGTTCTGGGGCAGACTATGGATTGTCACTTACAGGATATCTGTCTTTCCCAGCCCCCTTCTCTCCTTCCTCCCCAGACAACCACCTCCCTTATTCTACTTGCTGTCCCACAACTTACAAGTTTCTTGATCAGAGACAATGTTTCAGGCCTCTCTGGGCCCCCACTGCCCCGGCTGTGCTGGGCTGGGGTAGGATAAATGGGTGATTGATTGGAAGGGCCATGTGAGTGGGGGGTGGTGACAGAAGACTCTGGTGTGTATTTGAAATGAGAGCAGAGCTGGGCCTCAGAAGACTCTCCTGTAAGCAGGAGACTGTAGGTCTCTCCCTGGGAGCAAGGGACCTTTCTCTTCTCACCTAGCGCCACCCAGAGGTGAGAGGTGGAATAGCCATATGTTACGTTTATGCAGGTCCTTCCTGTACCAGGCACTGCCCAGGCCTTGGGAGATCTTAGTTCTTACTTCCAGGGTGCTTACCATCTGGAGGGGGCAAGGCCGACTGAACAAATCTTGCCAGCATGGGGCACTGAAGGGCGTGTCCAGATCACTTTGCGGTGCTAGGGCTCCTGCTACCTTTGTATATAATAGGAAGAGCCTAGGAGGGTTGGGCCAGTCCTGCCAAAGCCTGGTGCATAGTGTTCTTTTAGGTAGTACATGAATAAACATTTTAAAAAATAGTTATGTAATTTTCATATATATTAGAAAAGCAATCCCTGATTTCATGAATATATTGCTAAGAATAGAGTTAAGGAATAAGTGAGTTGATTTAAAAGAAACCATAGGGGCATAGTAGGAGGTGTGGTAGGTGGTACATGAATGTAGCATTAATCAAGGGGAGGCCAGCAGTGGCTAAAGTCTGAGAGGCATCATTTTATGTCCTGGCCTGACCCCTTGGATGCCCTCCCTGAGCCCCCTGTGTTCCCCCACGTTCAGATGCCTGCCCTTCCCAGGTAGCTAAGCTTCCTGCCAGTTCTTTTTCAGGCATGGTCCACATTCTGCCTTGTAACTAATGCCGGTCCCAGCATTCTCCTTTTCCGTTGTTTTGGCAGCGCAGCCTGATCTTATACCAGGCCTGTACGTGGAGAGAGGTGGAAGCTTTCCTAGCTCCTGCTGTCCAGGTTCCGTTTAAGCTTCCTGATTGCTTCCTGGCTCTAGAACCTGGATGGGGCCCCAGAGGTCTCCTTGACACCGCACCTGTCGTGTGCCTGCTGACTTACCTGCCTACTTCTTGGCTTTCCTATGTCTTCCTCCAGGCAGACCTCAACACCAATATGGAGGACGAAGGCAGCTCCTTCTACGGGGTCTCCAGCCAATACGAGAGTCCCGAGAACATGATAATCACCTGCTCCACCAAGGTCTGCTCCTTTGGCAAGCAGGTGGTAGAGAAAGTGGAGGTAGGAGCACCCTGTGCACTCATTACACCAAACCTTTTTCCTATTTCAGGCTGGTCTTCATTCTTGTCCTCTTTCCCCAAATTTACCTGAGCTAATGAAGTCTTACCCTTGCAGTCTCTTGGTTATTGATAACCCACCTCGTGTTAAACACCACCAGATGCTGGGCTGGGACCAGGGAGGAGACACCCCCCTTCCCAGTGTTCTCACCCCTGGCTGTACCTTAGATCACTGGAGCTTTTGAAACTTACCAGTGCATGAACCCCACTTCACAGCACTTACCCCAGATTCTCTAGGGTGGAATCTGGGCAGTAGCTATTTGTAAAAAGCTCTTCAAGTTATTTATTTTAAATTAAATTTTTGTTCTGAAATAATTGTGGATCCACATGCAGTTGTAACCTCATGTACCCTTCACCCAGTTCCCCCAAGGCCAATATTTTGCGTAACTATTGGCAACCAGTAAATTAACATTGATGCCACTCACCAATCTGATTCAGATTTCATGAGTTTGCATGTCCTCGTGTGTGTGTGTGTGTGTGTAT